TAGCCATTATATAAACGACGCCAAATGACTTAAACGACACCAAGAGTTTGGGGGGTGGGAAGGAATTGCAGTCTCGGTAACAAATAAAAGGTTGAGAAATATTGGAAAGCGATCTCTCTAAAAAAAATAAAAATAAATAAATAAATAAAGGGAAAAACAGGTAAATGATGTTTTTTACCACATTTTTCAATAAATGACCAAACCTTTTACTTTTTTAAACAAATGGCTGAAAAGTTTTTTAATTTAGCAAAATGGCCGACCGATTCATTATTATAATTTTTTTATTTTTAGGATAAACTTAGAGGATTTATTAATCACGAATAAAATCACTTCTTTCAACTCAACTAATCAAACAAGGTAAAGAATCATGCCAAAACAAATTTACAGAGAAAACAAAAGCATGACCAGCTAATTTTAGGATAAACTTAGAGGATTTATTAATCACGAATAAAATCACTTCTTACAACTCAACTACTCAAACAAGGTAAAGAATCATGCCAAAACAAATTTACAGAGAAAACAAAAGCATGACCAGCTAGCGTGTGGGCTACACTATTCCTTTCACAGGATGTATAGAAAACAGAGGCACAACAAGCTTGAACAAAGATGTCTCTAATATCTTGAATAACGATCTGAAGGAGCCTGGACCTCTCGAACTGCATTGATCGCATCTGACTCAACAACCCACTCTGAAAAACCATTAGAGATGGCGAAAAGTGCACCCTCATCAATGGCCACCCACTCTGCAACGTGGGGTGAAAACCGGCCAGGAATATGGATAGAGCACGCACCTAGAACAACACGCAGCCTATCCCGAGCGATGATGCCAATACCAACATAATCCGCAAAACTCAAAACTGAAGCATCAACATTTATTTTAACCATCTCACCTTCAGGAGCATGCCACATGTAGTCTTGAAGTTCCGTGACATCCTTATTGCCTTCTTGGGTGACAAATAAGCAGAGAGAGGAGAAAGGGCCTCCCAGAAACTTGCTAACGAAGTCCCATAACACACTCCCCTCCCACACTCCTCTTTTACCGCCGCGCAAGACCACATAGCATGAGTAGTGTCCTCAACCTCCTCACCACAACGTAGACAAATAGGTAAAACATTGGATACCACGTGAAGCCAAGTTACACTTCACAACTAGTGCTTCATGAAAGGCCCTCCATACATGAATTTTAATCTTCCGAGGAACGGTGCAGGCCCATAATTTCCGCCACCATGCAGCATCAACACGTGGCCCCGATGTGGTTTCCGTTCCCCACCCCGTCTAGACATCTCCAGTTTATAACCCGATTTGACAGAGTAACGGCCCTTGAGTGCCACATAAGAACGCCCTCATCACCGCGAAGTCCGAGTGGCAAACTAAGAGCTAAGTCTCTATCAGTCTCCCAAAGGTAATTGTTTAATAAATGACCGAACTTTTTATTTTTTAAAACAAATGGCTGGAATTCTTTTTTAATTTAGCAAAATGGTCGTAATTTGACCGATTCATTATTATAATTTACTACTGATATAATTTGTTGAGTGAAATTGGTTAATTATTAACTGATATTGACGTAGCAATTAACAACAAAAGGAAACTTCTTCCAACTTTCAATTCAAAATCTTCTTGTTGCAACTCTTCTTCATCCACATCCATTGCATTATCCTCAAAGAGAAGCAAATTGATAGTAAAAAATATTAAATGCATTTATGAAATGAAATAGATAAATTAAATACACTAAGTGCTTAATAAGGAAGTAACTTACTCAACCATTTAAGTAATTACAATCCTAAAGTCGTTCAAATAAAGTACGAACTTTTGCTAGTACATCTAAACAGAATAGGGGGCCAAAACGGATGAACAAGGGGGAAGGGAAATAGCCGCTCAACGGCTCTTCTAGGTTTAAATCTGATCTGGGCTTCAAAGGGCAATCATGGTGCTAGATGAACGGAAGCTTCGCGGAGTGGAGAATGACGACGCTACAGGATCGGAGATGGGTGTAGGCTGACCAGCTTTCCGGTGAGGAGGCGACAGTAGACGGGGAACGGTCACAGGGGTGGTGGATGGCGATAGCAGACAGGGTCAAGGGATGGCGGGCGTCGATCTCTGGTGGGATGGGATGTGTGCTAGCGCCAGTGGGGCTGCGGCGACGTTCGGTGGTGCTGCTATATCGACGATGGGTATGGGCAGCGATGGTCTGTCTCGTGTTGGGCTGGTGTGCTTTGAAGTAATTCCATGGTATTGAGATTAATGGGAATCTGAATAGCACCTACTTTGGTGGTATTGAGATTACCTCAAAATGGAGTAATTTGAATTCCATGGGATTGAGTTTCCTAGGAATGTAAAAATCACATTTTTTATACCAAACATGAAAATCTTGCAGATTTCCATTCCTACCTTTAGAATTACTACATACCAAACGTCCCCTTAAATTGACGTTGGTCTTACAAATGGTGGTGCAACATATCCGTAGACGGCCTCGGCATGCCCCAATGCTTATTTGGTTGCGATATAATGTTGCTTAACCCGCAAGTTTAGTGGGCGGGTTGATAACGGCAATGCCACCTCCTGCTCTGTTGAGTCGTAGCCTCGCTCCCGGGGTTTTGTTGAAAGGGTCCAAGCAAAATAAAAAAAAAATTTCAGTAAAGGCACCAAAATGTTGGTAATTTTTTTTTTTTTCTAAACCCTAAAAACGTTTGGGACCAGACTAAATTGTGCATACCCCCTATTAATTGACATTGATCACACACTCATTGATATGAGCCATCAAAAGTAAGCACTAATGATCAATCACTGACATCATGATTGACAGTAGTTTTCCTAATCTAACAAAAACAGTTTAAGGCATTTATCGAAAATTTTCTATAGTACGGCTTGTTCTTTTTAATTGTCGGTATGTATTGTTGTGTTTAATAGTTGGATACTTATAGATTTAAAACAGATCTTTAACACAAACAATTACAAATTTAAAACAGCAATATCTACGGATAGTTAATTCAAAGGTGGGACCTTTTTTTCCTGATTGAGATTTTTTTCATAAATCTTCCCTATTTATTAACTTCAAAAGTAAAAACGACTAACAGATTATATTGAACAAATAATTAGATATAATATCATCAAATAATTAGATATAATATTATCACATAGAAATTGTTGAAATATTTCCAGTCCATTATATATGTGTGTGTTTGTGTGTGTGTGTGTGTTGATATTAGATTTTATCACACTACTTGTACACAAGTAAGATAAAGTCCGTAGGCACATAAACTAGTTTTGTTGACAAAATGTGAAAGCAGTCTATGGGTTTTTAAAAAATGTGAGTGAGAAGATACTTAAGGTGAGCTACTATTGTGCAAAATGGGTTAGAACCCATCAAAATTTTACGGGGTGTCAAGTTGGAATAAATCTTGAATTTTGAGTTTAAATAATTGAAATTCCAAGTTGAAGTCCAAATTTTTATGCAACCAAACAAGAGTTCAAACTATTTTTTAGTACAAACCCTCAAAAACCCTCCAACCAAACAGCAAGTGGTTTTCCCCTTTATCTTTTTCGCTTTTTATTTTCTAGGACTTATATGCTCAACATATGTATTTTTAAAAACATAATTAAACACTATTTCAACAGTCTCTTCAGAAAAAGAATCAAAACACACACAAAATTTATCACTTATATTTTCATATCCAAAATAAAATCGTTTTGAAAACTATAGGGCCTTATATATTTCTATTTAATTGTTCAATTCTAGGTTTCTATAGTTAAAAGCTCTCAGAAAATGTCACATCTAACATTTTTCTGTTACAGTTAAAAACTCTTAGAAAGTGTCACATCTTAGTTCAAATTGAAAACTCGAATCCGCGAAGCGAACGAGGCCAAAATTTATCACTTATATTTTCATATCCAAAATAAAATCATTTTGAAAACTATAGCGCCTTATATGTTTCTATTTAATTATTAAGTGGAGATATAATTATAATGTCTATTAATATAAAATGCAGATTTAATTAAAATTTTAGACAGAGAAAAAAAAATGTATACATATATATATATATATATATAGCATTACCGGAGAGGGGGTATACTTTGTCAATCCAATAGAGAACCCCGTTACAGACGACGACTTCGTTTTCCCTCGAGATTGTATTACAGTAAACCTTCAAAGCAAGAGGAGAGGAGACAAACGTACTAGTCCAGTTCCAGGTCTCGGATGAGAAGATCCGCACCTCTATCTCTGTAGGAGGACGATAGGAAAAGCTAGCGACGCCAACAAGGACAACCCTGAACCGGATTTTCTGTTGATCAGGTTCGCCGGAGAATCCTTTTACCAACAACCCGAATCTCATCGGATCATAGCGAAACGAAGATGAATCCACTGCTTTGTAAAGGGATTACGGATGTAATAATTGGTGCTGGGAACCTGGTAGCTTGAGATCAGCAGTAAGTCGTTGCAGGAAGCCCTTATTATATGCGGCTGAGGACTACTAGGCAATGGAATTGACGGGATTCCTTTGGAATATGGTTCGGAAAATGCTTGGTAGCTGACGAGAGTTTCCCACTCCATGGTCAGGCGCTTGGGATTTTCGCGTGGAAATTGACAAAGAAAAGTGCCCTTCGAATCGAAGAGGGCTTGGCGGTTGTCGACGAATCTTCGAATGAATTCGGAATTGGAGATCAGAGAGCGCCACTTCTTACACACGCAGCTACATCGGATTGGGGACCGGCCATCGGGAAATCGAACGAATATTTCGATAACAACGAAGAAGATGGAGAAGATGACGGTTCTGGTTTTGATTCTTCATCGCTTTCTTCCATTCTCTTGCAACACTACCACCGGAAAATTTAAGGTATTTGCCAGCGAAATCGGCTACAAGGGGGGCGGCCGGCTAAGGGTTGGGGAATTTACGTACTCATGTCCGTGCGCGCGCGTACGTGTGTGTGTACATATGTATATGTGTGTGTATATATATATACCGTCGGGATAAGGGTTTAGGTTAAGTTTGATGGGATATGTATCTTTTAACTCTTTTATAGCAAGATATATTTTCATTACATTATTTGTAAAAGATACAATACTTTCTCAAACATTACGACGCAAACAAGATAATCACAACTCCATACTCTTATTGGCAAAGCCTAGAAAGTCCAGGATACAAAACAACTAGAAAGCCACACCCTTTAGCTTATAGAGAAACTAATTTGACAAGCATATAGTTCAACATATTTAGTTGTAAGCGCCGGGGTTTGCCTGAAGGTAGCCTTCGACGAGCTTGAACAGACCGGCGGCCTTTTCCTTTCCTTCCTTAGCCTTCGCTTCATCGACGTGGGCATTCCCGACGGTGTGGAAGTTGGTAGTGACCTTAATGATAGTTCCTCCATTGGGGGAGGCCACAAACTTGGTCACATGAGCAATTTTCTCAAGCTCGGCAGACAAAACATCTCCTTCGATCACACTGTGGCCGTAGCTGAAGTTGTCGTGGTCAATTGAATCAAGCCTCTGCTTCACGTACTTGCCTGCAAATGAAATTTCACGTAAAACTTCCGATGTGGTTCAAAATTGCATATACCATCTTTAATGTACTTTTATCAAGAGGGCATCTAATTAGTTGCAAGAAGGGGAAAAAAAAAAGAAAGAAAGAGAGTTTGAAACGGAAAGAAGCATCATTTTTTTTTTTTTTTTTTTTTTTTTGCAGCTAAAAAGGAAGCATCATATTATTTAAGTACAAACTTACCTATTAATTACTATATATTGGGAATTAAAATTGCATTCCTAAGTTTAGTAAGTAGACACATGAACATAGGAAGAAAAGAAATTATTCCCTTATTCTCTTTCAATTGAAGATATGTAAATATGTCATCAAAATCTTAAATACACGGGATCACAGAGATTTAAAAAAAAAAAGTTTATTTACCGTCAGGAAAGGTGATCTTCTTGATAGTTCCGGGTCCTCCATTTCCTACAACAGTCTCGGCACTTTTAGCAGCTTGGGGAGCAATTTTTGGGAATAGGTTGTCAGCATCAAGGACGAAGGCCCTGAACAACCTAGCAGGAGCAACGGTGGAGGTGAAATCGTCGTCAAAAGTGAAAACACCCATGATGATCTAGGTTTTGAAAGGGATCAAAGAGGAAAAGATAAAGAAGGGTTGTTTTAAACTTTGAGGTGTTTTGTGATGAAGAAATGTGTGTAAAGAGATGCCATTTATAGGCTAAGCCTGCAGGTTGCTCTGTATGACGAATCCTTTGTTTATTGAATAAAGTTAATAGGTAGATATTTGTTTATTGGTTTATTGAATTCTGCATTTTAGTCAAAGAAGGCGGGCGTCTAAGTTGAAGCTCTATTTGGAAAATTAAAAAATTGTAGTCAAAATATTCTAGATAATGTGACGATTTTTCTTGTCCAAAATCTAAAAAATATAAGGGATGCGAGGAAAATCTCAGCCTAGAGCAGTTTTAGAATTGGGTTTGGGAGGATTTTAGATAAGGATGGGTGCTAACTCTGAATCAACGAATTAGAGGTGTAAGCAGGCAATGAATATGGTGGACCTAAATTCCACTTAAGGACAAAAACAAGCGGAGGGAACCACATATCCTGTTGAGGCAATGGAAGAGGTATAGATCTCTGGTGAGCTTCGAAAGGAAAGCTGGTAGCTGCCCATGGCAGTCTTGTTTGCGGGTGTACGATCTAATCCTAATCCTATACCCACAAAAGGTGAAACTTCCTGTTGTTAAGGGGATTAAACTTCAAGTAGTAGGGATCGAAGCGAAGTTTGTTGCTCTTTGTTCCCCCCCTGGGAGTCAACTCCGCACTAGATTGTCCAGAAATCTCTATGGTGTGATCATTTTCTAAAAGTACATAGTAGAAAACCACTTTCAAGCCATAGGTAGCCCCATCCATGACGGCATGAATGGAAGACTCAAGGGAAGACTCCTAGCTCCCTCCTACCACACTTGACGGTTATAAGAAATAGCATCTACAGATGATATATAAATGCCACATAATTTTGTTGAATAAAATAGTCACGTGGTCATTGTTTGACCGAGTCTTTCGGAACTGTTTTTATTTATTCAGGTGTTATTTGGAGTTTATTGCAGTAAGTGTTGTGAAAAATCGTAATGCAAGTATACGCTATCGCAATCAAGTAATATAATAGTGAATAAGAGTATCGTCCTACAAAGATTATTATTTAGTAATTACCGAAATTATATTAACCCCAATTTTATTTGAATAATCGAAAAGAGAGTTTATAAAATTAAGTAAAGTAAAACTAAACAATTAAATAAATTAAACAATGCTAAGCAATGGAATAAAATTCAATAGATTAAGACTCTAGGGTTTCCGATTTCACCAAAATTAATCCTGTTCAAATTCCCATAATTTAAGAAAATTAACATTCAATCATATACCGATAGTAATTTCTCTAAAGCAATTATTATTCTTTCTCAAGCAACAATAATTTTAATCCAACAAGTAAACTCTACATCTTTGTCAGACTTCTAAACCTGTTGAAAATCATTAAGTGCAAGAAATTCAAAAGAACTGCACAAGTATCATAGATATCTCTATCCTATGAAGAACTGATGGTATTTCAATTAAGAGCTTATTTAATTATCACCTCTCGGTCTCAAATCAAATACAAAATCATGTAATAGTTGGCCAAACAATCACAAGCATTAAGAATAAATTGAAATACTCAGCATATATGGATTAAACATCAATTACTTAAAAAGAAGATTGAGAATCTGAACATTCATAATCCGGTTACATCGTAGCCCTAGAAAAAGAAATTAATTCATCTCTAAACAAAATAAATTCCTAAACAAAGTCTTAATCATTGGAAAGCAAAGAAAAGAACTAGTTTGGAGTTGAATTGAAGCGTCCTCGTCTCCGAATTTTAGCCATTGTTCTTTTCCATACTCAATTCTCCTTTCTCTTCTTGAATCTCCTCTCAAAAGTCAGTCATCACTCCAGTCCAAAAGTCCCCCCAAATTGCCCTAGAATCATCTATTTATATGTTTTGGAGCATTAGGGTCAAAACGGGTAAGTTTCCTCAAGATTTGCCTTCAAAACGCGTATTTTCTCACGTCGTAGCGCCGCGGTGCTGAGTTCCAAGCGATGCGGCACTGTCTATGTAAAATCAGCGCCAACGTCAGTTTTAGAGCGCTACATCACTGTCATGGGCGCCAAAACGCTACCGGTTCTGTCCAAACATGCTGGTATCGTAAAAACCAACACCAAAATGCTACAAATGGGCGCCTAAACGATGTGTTTGCTATCTTTTTCCACCAAAAGTTATCCAAAACCTTCCAAATCATAGACTTTCACCTAACCTTCAAACAAAGAACAAAAACACACGTAAAAACTAACAAAAAATACACTTACAAACTAACAAAAACCTTGAAAACCAACTAGATATTAAGTGTATAATGATATTAAATGAGCAAGTAAAACTCACTCATCAGTAAGTGGTAGTCGTGGCAGGCTACTCTTTAGGAGTCTGTTTTTCTTTTATGTGATGACTCGCGCCCTGGCGGCGCGGTCGCCATTCCTTAAACTACTACTAATAGGCTGAGTTATAGTCTTATCTATTACTTGTTATTAGACTATCGTCTCTTTAATTTATGTTTTTATATGAGTAAATATTTTTTTTTCTTTAACCCTCGGGTTCTTAACATGTTCCTAGCATGTTCTTTTGTTATACAACAATTTCTTCTTGCTAATACTTTAAGAAATCGGATATGGAGCTAGTCCCTGAAACTTATCTTAACTTATTACAGTTTGTTGTTCTTTACTTAAGACAATGACCATAACATCTTTCTCTTAAAACTGAAACATACCAACTTGGGTTCTATATTACATTACTCTACAGCGAAATTTAATTTCTAAGCGAGCGTAGTAGAGACCACTCCCGTGTACCCATGACATTTCCGCCATCCTTGCCTCCGCCGGTCCATCAAGCAAAACCACTATATGGCTGGCTGCTTACCTTTGTTACCTGCACACGAGTAAACTGATGAGCTAACGCTCAGCAAGTATAAACATGTACACATCATAAACTAGCAAAATTTACATTAAGAGTTATGATGCAAATATGCTCGTGTGAAACATGCTTTAAACTGCTTGCTGTCTTTCTGTTCTTACTACTGTAGGCCTGGGCCCCTGCCTACTGTTCTTGTTACTGTGGACCTGGGCCCCTGCTTACTGTCTTGTTACTGTGGGCCTGGGTCCCTGCTTACTGACTGGTCTAGTTAGAATCTCTACTCTTTGAGATTTCGTCCCTTGGGAGGCCGACGACCCGTCAGTCTCTTTACATTACTGAACTTTGAGTTTTCATTTCGAAGTGTTAAAAACTTTACTGAATGATATGCAACGTTTTCTCTACGTGCATATGCTAACATAAAATGCATAATACTTCATGCATACTTTAACTGTGCATAAGGGTAACCATATGTTGCCCTCCTGCAATCTAGGGTACTAAGCCCTCCAAACATGTATAATCACATAGACTTAGGAACATAAACAAATTTATAATTATAAGTCTATCTACGATTTACTCGAGTCCAGACAAACATAGATGTCTATACTTACTAATAATCCGCTAGGATTCCCGCTTGCTGGAAGTTCTTTCTCGTTGTCTTGGCTCTCGTGCCAAAACCTGTTTCATGGAAATAGGTATAAATTTCCTATTCCAAATCACAATTCTTCATACTTAGATTCTTAAATCTAATTTCAAACTCATTTCTGAACCTCTTTCCCCTCTAGGCCGAATCCTAGTTCAAGAGGCATATTATACATATTTGTGTATCTCGGTTTCTAAATCTTAATCTGTTCATTTCTGAGCTTTAAAACTGTTATTCATTCTCTAGAATTGAATTACTAACTCATTGCTTACTAACTAATTTTTAGAAAATTTCGGCAGAGTTTTGCCTTATTTTTCTCGTTTCCCGAGTTTTCAATAACTCGTTCTACTTCCGATTTTGGTACCTGGAGTCAAAATTCACATTCCTGAACACAAATTCCAACATAAAATTGAACAAAACACATGTTCTTTCTTAATCTAGGCTCACGGATTTTCAATGGAAATCCACCAAAACTTCATTCAATCGTTTTAATACTTACACCATTAGACTCCTATTACGATGTTCTACAAAACCTTGATTTCGATTTTCACTTTAACGGAAGTTTTTCGAGATGGGTTACTATTCATCCAAATCAAGAAATTATAGAATTCTCATGAAAAATCTGAAATCTTACCTCCAGAAGTTGAGGTTTTCCTCTAGAACGCCTCAGGTTACGTTTCTGTCGGACCAAACAGAAGAAATTTCAGTGAAAATGCTTGATTTTCTTGATTTCCCTTTCTCCATCTCTCTCTAATATATTTTCCCTTTACTTCACTTTCTCACTTTTTTTTTCTCCTTATCTCTGCTATGCCTTACATTAATGGCATTAGTAAGCTTATGTGTTTTTTTTTTACAACTTGAGTTATCAAGTTTAACGTGAGTCACCAAGTTGAATGAGCTTAAGCGTATAACAACGCCAAGTGTTACATCTGCATGTGAGGTTTATATCCACCTCACGGTAACAATCATTTTTACTTTTATAAAAATAAAAAAATAAAAAAAACGTACATGGAAATAATCTTATATATATATATATATACACTATAACTTGGTTCAACTTGCTTTTATTCTTTGAAAAAATAAAAAAAACGTACATGGAAATAATCTTATATATATATATATATATATACACTATAACTTGGTTCAACTTGCTTTTATTCTTTGCCATATTAAAGATACATGCTAGCAAATGAGTGGGTTCCATACTCAAATTTTTTTCTTATCGAGACCTAACTTTCCGTTTCTCAAAACGAGTCTCTTTCTGGTACTTTTAATTTCACTATTCATAACTGATATTTACGAATTTTCTTTGTAAAAATATTCGTATTATAACTTTACACTCTTCGGGAGATTTTACCCTATACATAAAGTTTCTACATAACATTTCCTTGATTAAGCTGAAAATTCTACTACTTTCTGTTCCAAAAGAAATTGTGGTCAAATACCGGACTGTCCAGATTAGACTTAAAATTTTTCCGGTCATTACATTTTATCCGTTGGTTAGTGCTTAGTAATTACGTGGAGTCATGGTGTAGTGGTCAGAGTAGTGGACTTAGTTGTTCCTATTCTTTTACTTT